AATGTATGGTCACCAGGGTCAAGCGAGGCGTTGAGGAAAATTTGGAAATACGACCCCCCCCCCACCACCCTCCGCCGGAGGCCGAAGTCCATGAAACAACCCTCTTCAAAAGCCGAACTATGAAAAGGTTGAAAAGCTTGTTTAATTCCTCCAAGATGTAAAAGCCCTGCTACCCCACCGCCCACAAAAAAATTCGTTTAAGAAGTACAAAAGTGAAAAAGTCAAAGAATAATCATTATTGATGAGTCCTACCAAACGAGCAAACGAGAAACAGACCAGAAAACGACAAACTAGCCACTAAAAATGGCATACTATGACAACATCTGTTCTTTATTTATTTCCTCCACAAGACTTACCAAATTCTAGTACTACACAGATTGTGGTTCTCAATTTGCACGTAGCCCTTCAGTTGAAAGAAGCTTTTTAACCGCCTTCGCCAGCTGTGTGTTGACTGGACTTTGGCGTTGACCGTGGAGCAGCTTATTTACTATTGAAACTTGAAATATTCAAATGATTATAACTTTCTTCAAATATGACGAATTTTCAATCTGAAAGCAGATTTGGGAAGTTTTGTGAAGAGTTTTTTCTAATCAGTACTTGAAATTACAGGAAGTTATAAGAAATAACAAATTTAGATCAAATAACGGAATTTGAGGCCGAGCGATTTACATTTCCGGGAGCCATACTCTTGGCTTCAGTTTTCCAGCAATTCAAAAAGTTAATCGTCATCAAACTTTAGAAATTATTCTTCTACAACGTTGTAAGCGTTTATACGTCCGATATTAAAAATGGCCACGTATGATGATGGGTTTACATTACGAGGAATTTGTGATGAGTGCGAGTTTTTTTATTTCCTAAAGCCATAACTCCGTTCAAACTCATCCAATCCAAAAAGTGAATACGCCATCAGAAACTAGAAGATTTGCTCTATCAAATGCTAGCTAGAACTGCTCCAAACGTCCAGTATTAAAAAAACGGCTACGTTGAGGATTTTCGCACGAGTACCGCCGAAAGGTACTTTTTCGCTACATTGGCACTATTTCAACGGCTGTATATCCTTTTAAGGGCGATTATGTACTAAAGTAAGAGCAGATTTGGAATCACTGCTTTTCTCTTTCTAAGAAAAGTGATTGATTAGCGTTTCTCAACTTTAAAGGTTACATGTTTATAAATTTAACCCTGAAGAGTCCGTTAACGCAATGTTGAATGGTGTACACCTCCCTGTAAATGCGCACGGACACTTTCAGAATTCTCTCGATTGTTCCTGAATTGAGTCCAGAGCGTAGTTCAAGCGCGGGCCCGACAGACAACTAGACCTTTTCTCAGACGCGTTGGTACTCACAGATTCGGAAGTCTTACTTGAAAGATGAAATATCTCTTGGAAAGCGTGCGAAATTCAGATTCTTTAACTTGTGTGGTGATAAAACACTGAAGTAACTAAGAATTACCGGACGCCTCAGAATCACGAAAATTTTGTGTGGGTGAAATATCATTTTCATTGGAAATCCTCTGGCCTGGCATCGACTCATCCTTGATATTTGTCTTCCGACGGTGATGATCCCACTGCATCAAAATGGCTCGATCTCTTCCACCCAGCGGGCCGATACGACCCCCCCCCTGCGACGTGTCGAGGGATTCCTCAACGCTCGGACCTGGCTCCAGCAAATCGCGCGATCTCCCACGGCTGGCAAGAGGGGCTTGCGAGCAGGGTCTGTCCTATCGTTGTTACTTTTCGAAAAATTTTTACGACCCCCTCCCCAACGTGGATTTGCTATGACCCCCTTTTCCCTAGCTTCACCACCTCCATCTTCCATCAAACTCCGCCCACTTTTTCCTCCAGAAATGCCGTCGAGCGGGGGGTATATAGTCACTCTGAAACGGTAAATATCTCCGAAAATTTCCTTCTATTTCCACCACTTCAACCCACTTTTTACCTATACTCCCACTACTTCTTTGCTAGGGGGGATTAGCCCGTGACGGAAATTTTTTATCTAGCGCGGACTCACTGAGGGTACCACGAAGATGTTGATGGCTCTCATCTACGTATTTCGAAGCGTTAAAGTCGGGTGGACCACATCTTACAATCAACCAAACTACGACCCCCGTTGACTGTAACACGTAGGGTTTGACCTGCTTGCGAGCGATGGCCGCCACGCCCACTTCGGAGGCGTTGAACTTCCTTTCAACTTTCCTAAGTGAGCTTTTGTTGTTTCGTTTGTATCACACTTATTATGTTCTTCACTAGGGCTAGTGCATCGTTCCACATTATTGGTGTCGAAAATAAGAACCCTGCTGTTTTTGTTGCTTGCAGTAATCACGATGGCTGTAGGGCCTCACGGTGTTGATAGCCTCATTGAAGGTCATAGGTGGAGGAGCTTTGAGAGGCAGTCTCAACACTCCTTAGCTGCCTGCTGCGTGCAGTCCACCATTGATATTTGATGACGTCATCGAAACCGCACCGCCCCTGCATTTTCTAATCCGTTCTATGCTGTCAAGCGAGCAACAGTAAAAAATTGTTCAGTGTGGCGCTATCTTCAACTCTCCTAAGTTGTTATGCACTGAAAACTCGAGAGTGAGAAAAGTATGCGTATGCGATTGTTTTGCCTTAGGGTCGAAACCGATAGAAAATGAGAGCTTTGATGGAAAGTGTTGATGAGTTTTTGCGTGACCGTATTTGATTATATGGTGCCACTCCAAATTCTATGCCATTTTTAATGTCTGCCTTCAGCGTGGCACAAGGCGGTTCTTGGATGTCTCATCGTTTCCTTGCTCTTCGCCTCGTTGGCTCTTTGCTGTGGACTGTGTGCGCCTTGCAACGGTGGATGTGCAGTGATTTTCTCCATATTCGTCTTCCTCTCATGTAAGATTTACTTTAAGGTTCTTCAAAAGGGTAAGGATTTTTGAAAAACTCCTAAGAAGTCGGTCTCGATTTCGAGGGCCTGCTCGTCCTAGTTGAAGAATGCTGGACAACAAAGCCTGCCTGTAGGAAGCTCCTATAATGTCGTGCAAAATAGGTGGTGCTTGGTCAGACATTGTGGATGTTGGGCTATCATTTCTTACTGCCACAACCTTACAAAGCACGCAAAATATGGGCATTCATTTTTTCGGTATATGCTTTTGGTATGTTGTGATATTTCAGTGTTCATGGCTGTAATTGGCGATGGCATTTTCTTCTTTGCTGCTCATCGGGTCGATAATCGATTTGTTCAAGGACTTGTTGGGACATACGAGGTAAACTAACCATTTTGTTGAACTGTTTGAATTGACGTTTGTACACATCGCTCTTGTCATCATTCATTCAACAGTAGGATGAACACGATTCCCTTAGGCCAGTGTCAGACCTTGCGTATCGAATTTCAAGTCGCGGGGTACGAGCGTTGCACCAGCGAATCGATCGTTTGCATGATTTTGCGAAACTGTTTAAAAGTTGTGCGACTACCTTGAAATTCTTGGTTCTCGCCTGTAGGGCTCGCGATGGCATGAGAGAGAGGGCATGAGAGATCGGGAAAATGGGGAGAGTCAAAGTGCAAACGGGAGGGAGTCTCGCCACTTTCAAACAGTGTCGAGTCGCTGGTACATCGTTCGAACCGCTGGTACACAGCTCGATTCGCTGGTGCAACGCTCGTATCTCGCAATTCGCTAGCGAATCGCTGGATTCACAAAGTCTGGCACCAGCCTTACGAGGGGTGCATTTTTCGGCCACCAGTCACATGCACAGATCACATATTGCCCTCAAACAATTTGGGAGCATGGAGTAGGCTCCTTGCGTAAAACTGTGATTGATGTGTTGAAACCAGGGTCTAAGTTATAGTCACACATTGTGGAGTAGGGTAAGGGGCGGGTTGTATTTGGCAAACTGGGTGTTCTGGACGACATGGCATGAGTAAAAATTTTTAGTGGAAAGTTGGGAATTTTTCAGAGACTCTTGGGGAAGTCTACGAAATTCCGTGATATCTGGCTTTGACAGTTGTGCTCGGCTATTCAACCCCAACCCACTTCACACAAGCTTGAGATTTCGAGGGGCGGAGTTATAAGTGTGTCAGGATGGACCAGGTTCATTTTGACAGTATTTGCACCTCTGAGTCGGCATGGGTAGGGGACGGAGAGCTTACATGTAAATTACGGCAGGCTTCGCCGTTGACCTTGGACAGAACTGTTCGAAACTTATATTATAAAATACCTGAAAAATACAGGAAAATCTCGACGCTAACTCACACCATCCCGAGGCTCGTTGCGTTTTACAAATGTTAAGAGCTTCTTAAGAATCAGGCCCAGTCCATTACTCTAGCTGTACTACACCTTTATTCCTCCTAGACTTTTCGAAATAATCTGTTTTTTTTTCAGCAACAAATTGGTGTCGCATTCTATCTACATGGCTCCGGTACACTTGTTCTCATGTTCGGATTTCTTGTGGCCGTGATTGCGTCATATCAAATCCTTCGAAAATCTGAGCTATCAAACTCACTACCCCTACGGGAACTTGCACCTTTATACGGATCTCGAATGAGAGAAACATTTGCCTGATTATACAAAATAGGTATATTTATTCAATGATAAACCTCTAAGAGGTGTGTTGTCTGTTGTTACATTGTTCTTTCTGTTTTTGCCGTTCATTTTTTGTAATCCTTCAGTATTTTCCGAGACTGCCACCTTGTCATTCACAATTTGCCTTATTTGTTTTGAAGGATGCGGGTATGGCCCGTCTTTGAAAGTAGCCACAACTTCATGAATGAGAATGAGAAAAGCTGTTTGACCCCAAGTATGCGGCTTCTTAGCCAAACTTTCTTGGCAACTGGCTCACCTTGGGTCCTGCTCAATGGTGAGTGGCTGGACAGCCCGCGCGCGGAGCGCGACCAATAGCGAAGGTTCCAGGCTTCAACTAGCGCTGCCCACCAGTTCTCACCACACACGGCATGACCGCTGCCTTCAGCTTTCTGTGACGGAAAACATTGTAGGAAACCAGCGTGCAACATTACAGGAAACCAGCGTGCATCCACTGCCTTGGGAATAATAGCGACAAGGGAATTCGGCGAGTGTGTATTTCAGCACAGATTACAGTTTCTGAAGTACTCACAAGAGCCGGCCACGGGGGCTAATGCTGCGCATTGGAGTTGGTACCCTTATAGATATTGGCTCTGAATGCGAAACGGTTTTCTGTGAGTTTCTCCTGAATAAAACCCATAGTAAAAGAGCAGCGTTTTCTTGAGCAATAACTTCATCGATTACCCTGGATCAGGATCAGGGATCAGGCTCATCTGAAGCTGTTCCATTGTTCATACCAATCCTGTATACTCATGAGGTTGTGGTCTTAGGCACATTCACAATGGCTCATCTCCGCATCTTTCGTTCCATTCCATGTCAACATTCTTTATGTTTGATCTCTGTGTTGCTACAATTCGATAGATACGTCGACTAATTCTCGTGTATTAATTCACACATTTATACTATTTATCACACAAGAAATATTAAATACGATTATCCGTGTACGAATATGTTGAATAGAATTTTAGATCACAAATCTGAGAGGCATGAATGAATAACGAATGCTTTTGTACATTCAGCATTTAGGCAATACGGTGATGATTGTGGACCATAATTGTTATGCCAGGTGCAATTTAATTGAAATGCTATACAGGGAGTTAAATCGCATTGGAACGGAAGAAATACCACGAATATGGGTCTTCTCTAAATTAGCGTTGACACGACACGCATACGGCTCGTTGATTACTTTCTTCTCGTCATCATTTGGCAGAATTCTGCAAAGAATCGCTTATTGAATTCATCCCTGGAAAATAGTGTGACAGTATAAGATAGAAGTCGATTTTTACTAGAGGATATTGACTCCGCTGAACGCGCTATGCCTAACTATTTCTTTGATGGTTTTAACAACATTTGATTGCACGTAGTGATGCTGCAGTATTGTTGTTGCGGATCGGTGGGTCCAGGAGGAGACCTAGGGCGCCCAAGGTGGGAAAACCAGGAGCCAAATAAGAGATCAAGCACTGACAGCCTACCAGCCGGCTCTGCAGTAACCTACTGGGGCGCAAGTGGACTAATTACAGAAATTGTCAGTGATACAAAAAAGGAAACAAAAAGAAAAGATGGTTTAGAAGTTCTAGAAGGGAGGCCCTTCTTTGCCCGTTGATTTGCGCATTGATGCGACTCTCATCGGTGCTGCCCTCTTCAACGCTAACGCTCTCTCTGCTAAACGGCTAGAGACTCAGACACGAGACGACGCGAGAGGGGCGTACCGCGCCAATAGCGCGCCAACTGCGCCGCGGAGAAGGCCATGCCAGATCGCCGGGACATATCCTTCTACACAAACTGTCAGTCCGCACACTTACGATGTCCACTTGCTTCTAGGGAGGTTTCCCTCTCTAGGACCTTCGTCCTTAACCCTCGTTTAAGATCAACGGATATGCCGTGAGGTGGCTCAGGATCAAATGAGGTAGACGACAAGGTTCAGGGCTTTAC